CATGAAAAGATGCTAATCAACACTAGTGATCTTTATTTTAGAGATTGAAGATGCTTATTGACTAGTGGATTCGAAAGGACCTGCTGAGTGCAATTTAGTCATTCCAATGACAAGAATAAAATCCATTCTTTCTCCGCTTACAATTTTGATTCATTTCACATTGTTATGCTTGATACTTCACTAGCGTCGGAAATCAACCACCTACCAATTGTTACATGTTCTGGCTTGGTGGATACCCAAACACTCCAGTTTTTGCAAGTGTACGATAAGCGTTGGCCAGATCTACAGAAAGCTTTCGCGTTTCAGGAGTCATGGTAGTGCCGTCAATTTTGCAAATGGTATCCTGTAATATTTCCCGTATACGAAACTCCGAGGCACGCTTTTTTGAACTTCTACAAAGAGAGTAGAATAGAAGTCATGGTCGCCGAACTGCAAGTTTTGGGCGACAAAAGTTTTCCAAGGGGTCCTTAAGTGTTAGTGAAAAAGGTGTAGCAACTATCGTAACTAGTTTGTTGTCGTGTCGCTTCTGTAGCTGGGGACTGCTAGTTATTCATATAAATATCAGCCGGGGTGTGTGGTACATATCTCACCGAACAACTTAGTCGTAATACTACTCACCATCTGAGGGAGCTGCTCTCTTTCTTCTTTCAACATCATGGAAATCCTTTGTGAATACCAAAGTCACCAGAATCTATTCGATTTAAATGAACAACTTACTAGAGGAACCGAAACGAAGCGGAACTCACGTCAATGCAATGCAGTTCAACACGAACATTTTTCTTCCTACGATCACTAGCATCCAGGGATCCTTATATGCGCTTCAGTTTCCAATAGGTGCTGACACGTAGTAAATGTCGTTGCTAATTCATAGTCTCCTGCTACACGTTGCAGGATTGACGTGGTGGAAAACTCTAATTGCATAGGAAAATCCTCATTTGTTACAAGGCCACAATGGCTTCGTGGTTTTTCAGAGACGCTTACATTCGAGGTGAGTGTGGCCAGGCAATAATGTGTTTGATTACTACCACGATTTTTCATTGTCGTATGCAACCGAATTGAAGGAAGCACTGTATTCGCAAATGAACATTCTGATAACTGTGAGTAATTATAACAGCATTCACGATCTTTCCAAACGCTTTCTAAACTTAAAGTCACTGTAAGACGTAAACATGAGATGCCATGGCATGGCAAAGCAACCGACTGCCTGAAAACATCATTACAGCAGTATAATTTGTACTTCAACAGCTCCAACGATTTTTGTCCGTATTCGATGAGGCCAACCTGAAGAACGTTCCCGAATGAGTAGACATTGCTTGGACGTGGAAAAGTCACACTGAGTGCATTAACGAATCGCGTCCTTTGAGGCAGTAGTGAGTTTAGGGGTTGCGGAAGGAACGAGATAAGTGGTATCAGGTGTAAAATGGTTAGAGATGTAAGGTGCATGCAACATCAACTTTCAACATGCTTCGATGATCTTGCCGAATCACCGGAAGTCTATCAATCTTGTTTGGTCTCAGGGCAACACTATTCCATTGTGGCTTGCTAATTTAAAGGGCTCTTTTGATTGCTTTATAAAATTTCAAAGGTAAAGCTTTACGTTAAAGTTCAGGTTTCTTGGAAACTCTTCGATATGAATCACACCTTGGTAATTCCAGCAAATTTTTAACGTGAGCTTTTTTTGATAGTTTACTCATCTATTTTGGCGGAATTCGCGAGTATTGTACAGTATCTGTCGGCTGTCGGAATCGTACGGCTGTGCTCGCCAACAGTTCCGCCAGCAAAAGTGCACAATCTTTTGCGCATTACGACCAGTTTCTCTGGTCTCTGGGGTGGTTCGCGGTTTTTCACTGGAATCACACCACAATCTTTTCCTCTATATGTTCTCGCTCACATTTCGTTCTTCATCTACCGCTGTTGGACTTCGGAAAGTTGTTATATGAATTTCGGATCGGATCGCCCAGATGCCTCGCCCTTTATCGATGTCACGACAAGCGAGTGTCGAGACGATACAAATTTCAATAGTCGTCTTAGGATCCTTGCGCTCGCT